TTTTTTCTTGTCTTTTCTTTTCTTTTTTTTCTTGTCTTTCTTTTTCTTATCTTTTCTTTTTTTCTTATTTTTTTCTCTTTTCTTTTTTTTTCTTTTCTTTTCTTTTCTTTTTTTTTCTCTAGGTATTGCATCACGTCTTGCAAGATATGCAAAAGGGATTCGTTGATTAGATTAAGGAAGATTAAACAAAGAGGATGATTTATGTCGCTTCCTCCTCACTTCATCTTCGTTGTTTTTTTTTCTTTTCTTTTCTTCTTCTTCTTCTTTTTCTTCCTTTTATTCGAGTTTTTTTTTTCTCCTCCTCTCTTCTTTTCCTTTTTGCTTGTTGTGTGTGTGTTTTTGTTTGTTTGTTTGGTTTTGTGTGTGTGGGTTTTCTTTTCTTGCTTTCTTTCTTTCTTTTTTTGTCACCTGTTCTTCTTCTACTTCCTCCTCCTCCTCCTCCTCCTCCTCCTCCTCCTCCTCCTCCTCCTCCTCCTCCTCTTCCTCCTCTTTCCACCTCCACCCCCACCTCCTCCTCCACCTCCTCCTCTACCTCCACTTTCTCCACCTCTACCTCCTCCTCCTCCTCCTCCTCCTCCTCCTCCTCCTCCTCTCCTCTTCTTCCTCCTCTTTCCACCTCCACCCCCACCTCCTCCTCCACCTCCACCTCCTCCTCCACCTCCTCCTCCACCTCCACCTCCACCTCCACCTCCTCCACCCCACCTCCTCCTCCACCTCCTCCTCCAACCTCTTCCTCCACCTCCACCTCCTCCTCCACCTCCTCCTCCTCCTCCACCTCCACCTCCACCTCCTCCACCCCCACCTCCTCCACCCCCACCTCCTCCTCCACCTCCTCCTCCACCTCTTCCTCCACCTCCACCTCCTCCTCCACCTCCACCTCCTCCTCCTCCTCCACCCCCTCCACCCACACCTCCTCCACCCCCACCTCCTCCTCCACCCCCATCTCCTCCTCCACTTCCTCCACCTCCTCCTCCACCTCCACCTCCTCCTCCTCCACCTCCTCCACCTCCACCTCCTCCACCTCATCCTCCACCTCCTCTTTCCACCTCCTCCTTCCACCTCCACCCTGTAATATATGTGGATTGATATCCCAGTGATGCCACCACTGTAATATTAGGTTTTGATGTCCCAGAGCGATGCCACCAAATTATATAATGTACTGTGGTGTTCCTCTCTCTCTTTTCTAGTATGGTACTGCCGATTGTGTCTTGAAGTGAAGTGTCGTGGAGTTGATAGTTAAAGTTGATACAGCTTCAATACTTTATTCTGCGGTAGCGTGGTAGGTGGGATACAGAGGTCAGGCGTGGCAGAGTCGCCCAAGGAGGAGCGAGGCCTCGTGCCACGCCCGCAGGCGAGCGGTCTCGAGAGAGAGCTGGAACTTGAGGTGTTGCCTGAGCCGATGCTGAGGGCAGAGTGACTTCGGCTCTCTGAGATTTCGAATGGTTCACAATATTCACTAAACATAAGAATATGGCAACATTGTTCTTTCGTGGGAAATGTCAATACTGGCCCTCTGGTTTACAACAGGGTAAGGGTCTTGTGGTCACATGTTAGGTCGGTTACACTGGGTAAGACAATACAATTATATAGTCAACATCAGATAACTACAATATCAGCAATAACAATGATTACAAACATAGTGATTGAGAATAAGGATTTTTTGACAAACATTTTGAGTATAATCAAGATATAAATTAACATGCAGTTATAGAACATTCGACGATAAGGGCTGGAATCGTTTGCTCTGTGGGCACTTCACTATTGTCATTATTTTCTGGGCGCAGGTCAAACTTGGCACAGTCGATTACCACTAGGGTCTTGGGTACCGTGGGAAGTCGAGGGGGAAGTAGAGGGGACAGGTCATTAAACACCCCCACCTCCACCCCACCTCCTCCTTCACCTCCTCCTCCTCTTCCACCTCCTCCTCCTCCACCTCCTCCACCTCCACTTCCTCCACCCTCAGAAAATCGTCCACTAATGCAGCTTTTAATCCACTTCCTTCCGCCACATTCTACGGCCGAAACAGAGATACATAATGCTGTATGTTTTTTTTCTTTTTTTTCTTTTTTTGAGGGGGGAGGGGAGGGAGAGTTTGTGTGTTTTGTTGTTGTTGTTGTGTTGTTGTTCGTACAGTTGTGGTTTTGGTTTTGTTATTGTTGTTATTGCGTTATTGTGTTGTTATTATTATTATTATTATTATTATTATTATTGTCATCATCTTCATCATTACGCTTATCATTCCCCCTCATCTCATCCTCCTCCCCCCCTCCTCCCCCTCCTCCCTCATCTACCTTTCCACCCCCTCATCCTCCTTCACCCCCTCATCCCCCTCCCCCCCTCATCCCCCTTCCCCCCTCATCCCCCTCACCCCCATCATCCCCTCCCCTCCCCCACCCCCACTCATCTCCCCCCTTCCCCCTCACCCCCCCCGCTCCCTATCTCATCTCACCCCCCTCATCTCTCTCTCTCTCTCCCTCTCCCCCCACCCCCAAACCCGCAGTCGAAAACATCGCGTTCAAGGGCAAGACATGGGTAAACGACAAGAGACACCAGTGGTCGGGCTGGGACTACGGGCCGTCCACGCTGGCGGTCGATGGCAACCTCGACGCCAGCCTACGGTCGTGCTCCATCATCGACAATTATTATGTGGATGAACCCGTGTGGATGGTGGATTTAGGCAAGAGGAAGCCCATTCGTGGATTGGTTATCCTCACGTGGCAGGGGCGTGGACAAGGTGAGTTTGGGGGGGGGTTGTTTTGTTTTGTTTGTTTGTTTGTTTGATGGTTTCTGTTTTTTTTTCTTTTCTTTTCTTTCTTTTTGTTCATGTGAATGCGTGAGTGATGAGAGTGAGAGTGAGAGTAAGAAAAGTGAGAGAGACAGATACAAAGAGAGAGAGAGAGAGAGAGAAAGAGATACATACAAAGAGAGTTAGAGATACAAAGAGAGAGAGAAAGAGAGAGAGAGAGAGGAGAGAGAGAGAGAGAGAGAGAGAGAGAGAGAGAGAGAGAGAGAGAGAGAGAGAGAGGTAAGAGAGAAAGAGAAGAGAAGACAAGAGATAGAGAGAGAGAGAGAGAGAAAGAGAGAGAGAGAGAGAGAGAGAGAGAGAGAGAGAGAGAGAGAGAGAGAGAGAGAGAGAGAGAGAGAGTTAAGATACAAAGAGAGAGAGAGAAAAAAAGAGAGAGAGAGAGATACATTCAAAGAGAGTTAGAGATACAAAGAGAGAGAGAGATACAAAGAGAGAGAGAGAGAGAGAAAGAGATACAAAGAGAGAGAGAGAGAGAGGGGGGGGGAAGAAAGAGAAGAGAAGAGGAGAGAAGAGAAGACAAGAGAGAGAGAGAGAAAGAGAAAGAGAGAGAGAGAGAGAGAGAGAGAGAGAAAGAGAGAGACAGAGTGAATGTGAATGTGTATGAGTGCATGCAATTGCGTGTATGTGTGTGCGTGCGTGTAGGACTAGGTGTATATGTATGTATGTATGCATGTCTTCCTATCAGTATCTCCTTATTCACTTCCTTCACCTCATCACCTAAAAATAAATAAATAAATAAATGAAAATAACAATAATAAAAATATGAGAATACACACATAAAACCAAACGAAAAGCAGAAGGCCCTGACTCCCTCCCTCCCCCTCCCCCCCCTTATCCAGACCAGCAGACGCTCTACCGCGACTACGTGTTCGGCCTCGACCGCCTCACCGTGTATGTGGAGAACCAGGCCCGGATTGACTCCCCCAACTCGCAGGACCACAAGAAGTGCGCCTCCGTCACCAGGCTCAACAACGCGCTCTTCAGGTGGGTGCCGTGTCTTCGGTCGCTAGGGAATACGCTAGGTTTCTCTGTTCTTTTAAGTTGGGTTTAGTCATTTGCGGCGTTGTTGGTGTGTCAAGAGGATGTGTGTAGGTATGTACACGTTCTGTTGCATTTTAAATGTTATCTTTGATATAGTACGTCCACGAATTTCACATGAAAATCGGAAACATCAAAAACTAGATTAGAATTGTAGTTTACTTTCCCAGTTTCCGGTTGAGCTCCTCCCTCCCTCCCTTCCCCCCTTCACCCACCCCCCCCAACAAACCCCCCCCTACCTTCCCACCCCCACCCCCACACCCCACACCACCCTACAAACACCCCCCATACCCCCCCTCCACACACCACCCATACCCCCCCTCCACCCACACCTAACCCCTTCTCTCTCTCTCCCCCACAGAGAGCGCGTGCACATGGAGTGTCCGCAGCCAATGAAAGGTCGCTACATCTACATCAAGGCCGGAGGAGTCGCGAACCGCTGGCACAGAGTCTTCTCGCTCGTCTTGTGTGAGGTCATGGTCTACTGAGAGAAAGAGAAAGAGGAAGAGAGAGAAACACAGAGAGAGAGAGAAAGAGAGAATAGGAAGAGAAAGAAAAAGGGATAAAGAAACAGGAAGAGAAGGGATAATGGGTTTACTGAAAGATAAGGAAAAGTATGAGAGAATAAAGAAAAATATAGATAAAAAGGGATAAAGGAAGAGCAAGAAAATGGGATAAAGAAATAGGAAGAGAAAGAAAATGGGATAAAGAAATAGGAAGAGAAAGAATAAAGGATTTACTGAAAGATAAGGGAAAGTATGAGAGAAGAGGAAAAATATAGAGAAAAAGGGATAAAAAAAGAAAGAGTAAGTAGTGTGCATTGAAAGATTAAGAAAAGAAATATTAATATGACGAAGAGTGTTAGGGAGAAAAATGAAAAGAAAAAAAATATACAAATATAAATTAAAAATGTCTATTGAAAAGAGAGAAAAGTCTATTGAGAGAAAGAGAAAATTAATAAAAAGAGAAAATATAAGTAAAAGTTTAGTTTGAGGTAAGGGTGATAAATCTACTGAAAAAAGCATGAATGAGACAACTGAGAAAAATGAAAAAAGTGTGCGAAAAAGAGAGAAAAGTCTACAGAGAGAAATGAAAACAGAGAAAAAAATAAATATCGAAGAGAGAGGAAAGTCTACCAAGAGAAAAAAAAATCGAT